GGTATAGGACCCTACTTTTAAGGGTCATTTGGTCCTTCAGGTTTGGGGGCCTCAATCATTAGAATAGGGTTTTGGGGCCCATTATATAATAAGTATCAGAAGGAACACCCAAAACAGTATGGAGGGTTTGGGAGTTAGTGGTTTAGGGGTTTAGGGGTTTAGGGTTTCGGGTGTAAGCCAAGGCAAATCGGGTTTTATCATGTGGGTGGTTCCGGACTTCACACGACTTGGTCTTTCCTCATCTCATTCCAACACCGGCCCTAAGTTCTCTATAAGGGAGTTTCCGAAGACCAGGAGTGCCTCATTTGGGGGTCCTTATAGTAAGGATCCTGCTATTTAGGGTACTATATTAGGGTCCCCTATTTTCGGAAACTCCCATAAACAGAAGTTGGAGAGATTAGTAGTACTATGCCTCGGCGTTCCTTATGATGATTTTGGAGAGATTAGTAGTACTATGCCTCGGCATTCCTTATGATGATTTTGGAGAGACTATGCCTCGGCGTTCCTTATGATGATTTTGGAGAGATTAGTAGTACTATGCCTCGGCGTTCCTTATGATGATTTTGGAGAGATTAGTAGTACTATGCCTCGGCGTTCCTTATGATGATTTTGGAGAGATTAGTAGTACTATGCCCCGGCGTTCCTTCTGATGGTTTTGGAGAGATTAGTAGTACTATGCCTCGGCGTTCCTTATGATGATTTTGGAGAGATTAGTAGTACTATGCCTCGGCGTTCCTTATGATGATTTTGGAGAGATTAGTAGTACTATGCCTCGGCGTTCCTTATGATGATTTTACCATGATCTGCCCCAAGAATTCTAATTCAGGCCTCATATACCAACCCTAAGGCAAAACCCTTAAAGGAATTCTTTCGATCAAAACGAACCCTGCGACTCCGGCTGCAGGGCCCTGTCCCTGTGTTCTCTCATATTGATTGGGTGTCTCTGCGTGCGTTTGTGGAGAGGTTTAGGGTTGAGGGTCTTTAAAGTTCTCGTTCAAGACACATACACTGAACCCGGGGTTTAAACCCTAAACCCTATACAGGGCTTAAGCTTACGAAAATATAAGGCGAAAGAAGGAACCACAGACCCCAAGCCGTAGCTGAAAGAGACTGTTAGGGGTTTAGGGTTTAGGGTTGAGACACATCTGCAACGACAGCGAAGAGGAGACACCGATGGTACCCGATGCTAGTGACCTATCGTCCTGGTGACCTATCGTACTTGCAATTTCCTGCAACGCTGCTGGCAACTCTGGCCTCATCTACCTCGAATACCTAAACCCTAAACCCTAAACCCTAAACCCTAAACCCGTAACCCTAAACCCGTAACCCTAAACCCTAAACCCTAAATCCTGCAGCGTCGGCATATCTGGACTCGCCCAGAAAGCTGAAACATGTGCGTTTACACAGGGCTAAAGGGAACTCCAGAAAGTTGGAATATGGTTTCAGGGTCGGAAACCCTATAATTTACCATAGAAGGGTTAGGAAAATCATATTCCAACTTCCTGGCTTTTACTTTAGAGGGATAAACATCACAAACAATGAGGTGGAAACGCTGAACTCCGGAATCCCGTTAAACACCTTGTTACACCTCCATGGAACCCTTAAGGGCATTCCTATTACTCAAGTGTCTTTGGAGCCAACCTGAAATCCTGAGCCCTAAACCTACCATCAGTCATTGAGAGTCGAGCTCCTGGGCTGGGAGACAGCAACAGAAAGAAACAACCGCTGAACCCCAAACTCTACACCCCAACCCTCAAAACCCTAAACCCTAAACCCTAAACCCGTAACCCTAAAACCCTAAACCCTAAACCCTTAAACCCGTAACCCTCAAAACCCTAAACCCTCAAACCCTAAACCCTAAACCCGTAACCCTAAACCCTAAACCCTAAACCCTCAAACCCGTAACCCTAGAACCCCAGCCTCCTCCCTGCATTCCAAAAACCCTAAGCCCAAGCAAAAACCACTGAGCCCAGGCCTGTGAAAGAACGAGCTGATTGATCTGGTCGACCTCGCTGGGAATCGAAGTTGTAGAGATTTAGAGCTTGACCCCTCGAATAAGCCCCAGAGGCTTTAATAGCTAGAATACGGTTTGATCGGTACATTATAGCTTTTTTGAAGAAACCCTCCAAAAACCCTGTTCTAACTATCCAGGCCCCGATAGAAATCCTCGTTCGCAGCCAAGTCTCCCCATCCTTCATCACCTGTCCAAAGGGTGGATTTGAGGTTTAAGGTTTAGGCTTTAGGGTTTAAAAAGTAGATCCCTTGAAAGGGTTCCTACAAAGTACCCTGTTTTGGCAGGGTCACAAATTAGGGGATCTACTTCTTAGATCCGCGCGGGGGTCTGGGTAGGGTGTCAGGTTACGGTCCAGAGTTTTGGCCCTTGTGATTTCAAGCTTCAGCTTGTAAGGTTTCGTTTTTAGGTTGAAGCTGTGCCAAGTCATTGTACGTGTAGGTTTGAAGGTTTCGGGGCAGGGATTGCCTTTAGAGTAAAGGGCGTGAAAGAAGGGTCTTAATAATTACCTGCATTATTTTAGGGGTTCCGTATTTTAATTATAGTACAATGGGCCCCAAAACCCTTCTCTAATGATTGAGGCCCGTATGTTGGGGCTTCCGGGTTTGGGGATTGAGGATGTGTTTTTCCTTACTTTCGGGTTCCAGGTCTAGTATGCCATGCATAGCCCAACAGAGCCCAAAACCCTTTAATCTAAGAAAACTTAAGCAGTCTAGAGTGCCTTTTCGGTGCCCCTTTGTATAACACTGAACGTCCAGAAACCTCAAAGCCCTGTGACGGGTTCGAACCCCGATTTTGGAAACGCCAGGGATTTGTTGAACAGACTGACCCTTTCCGGGAAGCCTTACATGGGAGTTTCCGAAAAGACCCTAATATAGTACCCTAAATACTAGGACCCTTATCATAAGCACCCCAAAATAAGGTACCCGAATTTTCGGCAACTTTCACATGATTCCATAACCCTACAAGAGCGTTTTAGATTCACCCTTGTCCTTTTAGGAATAATAGACAGAGCCCTATACCCATATCCCTTAGTAGGAGTTATTTAAGAAGGTCTACGGGAACCATGCTGTTTTAGGATTCTCTTTTACAGAGCCCACCAGCATCTTCGAGCTCCCAGCTATACGGCTACTTGGAGGGTCGGGGGACTTAGTAGCTGGTTATTTTAGGGACTTATAAGTACCATAACCCCAATTAGGGTCCCTTTTAGGGTACTTATAAGTCTACTTACTACCTACTTACTAAGTCCCTGAACCCTAAACCCTAAACCCTATACTACCCTTATAGAGCCCTTTAAAGGAACCCTTAGAATCCCCTTACTAAGTCCCCCGACCCTCCAAGTATACACTAGATGGGTAGCTCTGAAAAGAATGAGGGTCCATGCTTGGGGTTCTACGGTTCATGATATAAACCCTGCATTACCTTAAGGACCCTAAGCTATGGGAATTATGGTATATTCCTTGCCTGATTATGGGTAACGCCGCATTTATATCATCAACAGCATGTTCGAGTCCCTTCTGTTCCGAACCTCCCAGATTTAGTTGAGAGCTTCTGGGTTCAGGGTTTTCGGGTTTTAGGGTTTTAGAGTTTAGAGTCTAGGGTTTGGGGTCTAGGGTTTAGGGATTCCTTTAAAGCGATCCTACAGGATTTAGGGTTTTAGGGTTTAGAGTTTAAGGTTTAGGGTTTAGGGTTTAGACTGTTTCTAAGAGTGACATAACTGCTTTCGTGCTAGGTGGTCTAACCCCCCGATCATAAACTCCAAACCCCCAAACCCTACACTCTAAACCCTTTTAAACGCCAAGCAGTTTCAACTAGTATATACGCCATTTTCGCCTTAAAAAGCCTTCTCAAAATACTTTTGGGCTAGAGCATGGACCTTTAGGGTTTTCACCAAGCTTAAGAAAGTCGCTCTGATTTGGGACCCCTAGAGAAACTGATGTGTCCATAGGCCTGCGAAGGTTTTTGATAGGTATGGTAAACATCAGACTTCTTGATCCAGCGCCAGCAAATCGTACTAGATCCACTCAAGCAGCCCCCTGATTATCCTAAACACAACCCTGGAACAGCAAAAAGAGAACAATAAACCCTGAACCTTGCACCATCCTACAGTAAAAGCCAGAAAGTTGGAACTTCAATTTCCTCACGCCCTCAAAAGTACAAGTCAAGTATAAGGATTGCGAATCCTAGCACTAATCATCCGCCTTCCAACTTTCTGGGGCGCGGCTTAAGCCCTAAACCCTTAACCTTAAACCCTGAATCCCTAAACCCTAATTAAACTCTAAACCCCTAAACTTTAAACCCTAAACCGTAAACCCTAAACCCTAACCCCTTAAACCCCTAAACCGCAAACTTCGAACGGCCTGAAACACGCGGCGGCCCGCCACTTGCGTGAGCCTCCGCAGCCTGCCATAACGTAGGAGGCAAGGTCAGAAATAGGCCTTAAAACCCTTTCAAGGGATCTATATGGGTTCCTTTAAAGTGATCCATAAGGGCCCTATAGGATTTAGGGTTTAAGGTTTGGGGTTAGGAATTAAGGAGAGTGGCTTAGGGTTTAAGGCTAAGGGTTTAGGATTTAAGGGTTTAGGTAACATAGGAGTCGGAGACATTTAGCGGTATACTTCCTTTCTTGTCCGAAATATAACTCTGCTACATGCAGCCAAAAACGTACCTTGTTAGGATTCCTTTCTGTGGCTTCCATACATAACTCCTTTACAAATGGCTTTCGGGCCATAGGTAAACCCTAAACTCGAGGCTTCAAGACTGATGATGGCCAATTTTCAGGATGCGAATCTCTTCCCCGAAAAGGTAATACAACGTGTATTCATGGAGATCCTCCGGAAGAAAGCCTCTGCCCAAAAACTAACAAAGCCAAAATAGGTGAGGATAGTAGAGTTGGAAGTGCAGGCAGGCGGGTTGAGTCTTTGGGTACTCGAGGATCTTTGTCAAGGGGTGCATACGAAGATACCCTGGGACCCTAAACACGAAACTGCCGAAACCCTAAGCACGAAACTACCTAAACCGTAAACCCTAAACCCTCACGACACTCCCTGAACCATAAATCCTGAACCCTAAACCCCCAACACGAAACTGCCTAAACCCTACGCACGAAACTACCTAAACCATAAGCCCTAAACCCTAAACCCTAAACACGACACTTCCTAAACCATACATCCTGAACCGTAAACCCTAAACACGAAACTGCCTAAACCCTAAAAGGCATCCTTGGAAGGATCCCTTTGCCCAGACCCCCGGGAGGATCCAAAAAGTAGATCCCTTAAAGGGGTTCCTTTGTAGTGCCCTTTAGTAGCTAGGTTCCCAAATTAGGGATCTACTTTTTAGATCCTCCCTTCAAAGGGGAAAAGGAGGGACCCCTAATATGGACCCCTACGTATGTACCCTTAATGTAGCTATTATATACCCATTATATAGCCCATAATTTGGTAGGGGTCCCCATGAAGGGTCCCTCCTTTTCCCCTTTGATGGGTACGGATTCGACTCAGAACTCAGAACCCTAAACCCTAAACCCTAAACCCTAAACCCTAAACCCTAAACCCTAAACCCTAAACCCTAAACCGAGAACCGATGTCCGTGGTTACCAAAACACGCGATCTGCCACGCAGGGGCTAAGGGCGTAGTAGTTGGAATAGAAATTCCCTTTAAAGGGTCGGTCCTTTAAAGGGGCCTATAGGGGATCTATAGTAGGGTTCTATGATATAAAGGCCTTAATAATCAGAATAGGGTTTTGGGGCCCATTCTACTATAGTTATACTAAGGAGCCCCCCGCACAATAGTATTGGTAATTATTAAGGCCCCATATCAGGCTAGGGGATTAGGGCGTCTTGTCTGGGCATGTATTCTGCATGATGTGCTACATGCTACATCCTGAACTATAAAGCCTCAGTACCCCAGTCGGGCCTGTTTGCCATCTGGACTTGGAACCTGTCTTTAAAGCAGGTGCGCAGAGATAACTGAACATCGAATTTGGGTTTGGGGCTTAGGGTTTCGGGTTTAAGGTTTGGGGTTTAGGGGTTGATGAAAACATCCCCAAACCTATATACAGGAGCATCTCCGACAGGTGATTACTACCGGCGCAACAGCCCTTTCTGTAAGGCTTAGGGATGAAGGGTTTAGGGTTTAAAGGTTTGGGGTTTAAGGCTTAGGGTTTAGGGGTTTAGAGTTTTGGACTTAGGGCTTAGGTTGGTAGGCTTACGGGTTTGGGAAGGCGGTCGGGTGGTTAAGTGCTTTTGTCCCGGCAGTCGGGCGAGTCCATGAATTCAGGGCCGCTGTCCGGGTCCTGACAATAAGGAAGCCACTAATTCGGATCCTGCTTCTACGCTGCTCACTACTACTGTAAACCCTAGACATTAAGCCCCTAAACCCCTAAACCCAATGCGCTGTACCCAAGACCCGTAGTCGATGTTCGCACGAAAGAAGGTTTCAGGGTTCTGGGCCTCTGCGTTTTGAATGGCAGGATCGGATTCGTCACTGCAGGAATTTTGGCGGGCCTGTAGCTCAAACAGTGAAAGGAACCAGGGCCCCCCAACCCTAAGCCCCAATCTTTGCGTTGGTCTACGACTGCCCAGAGAACCTGTTTGAGGAATTGAAGGAAGAGCATAATTCTGATGGTGATGACGCTTGGGGGCTTGTGAGCATCAGGCATGCAATGGTTAGGGCTTACAGCTTAGGGGTTTTGGGCTTTAGCGGTTTAGGGTTTAGAGCTTCAGAGCTTTAGGGCTTTAGGGGCTTAGGGTTTAGGGCTTTAGGAGTTTAGGGCTTTAGGCGGTTTAGGGGTTCAGGGTTTTGGGGGCCTCATAAACCTAACCCCCAAACCAAATCCGAGTGCCATCCGGCAGCTGCCATTCTGCGTCGGACAGTGAAGCTGGAATGTCGCAAGGGGGCCCATTTCCTCGTGTGGGATTTATAAGGGCTCATGAGGGATCTGCAAGGGCTCTACTAGACTGGGGTTTAGGGTTTAGGGATTTACAAGGGATCTATAGAGATGAATAAGGGATCTATAGTTGCTGGCATTGGAGGGTCACTGGAGTTACCAACACCCTAAACCCTAAACCCGAAGAAACCCTAAACTCCTACAACCCCCAGAAACCTGATGTCCATACCAACCTGTTCTGTTCGGGTTTAATGTAGGAACCAGATTAAGAAACCTTGGGTCTTTATTAGGGTTCCTCACATGAATCCTACTATTCTGGGGTTACAGGCCCAGAGTTTCTTAATCAGGTTCCTACATTAGGGTATAGGGCTTGGGGCCCAGGAGCACTGTAGGAGCCTAAATTACTATTGTGGGGTTCCCTAATTATCATTTCAGCATAAGATCCCCCCAAATCCCTATTATTATTCTTATTATTATCATTATTAATATTATTATTAATATTGTTATTATTATTATTGTTATTATTATTATTATTGTTATTGTTATTGTTATTGTTATTGTTATTGTTATTGTTATTGTTGTTATTATAAGGCCCCTATAACAGATTGACTTCAAAGGAAAGGCTCCAAAACAGTTGCAGAGGGTCCCGTGACTCCTCAGCGCTTAGTCCGAAACCCATATTTAACCCTGTAAACACTGTCAAAATGTGCCGAAACAAATCAAAAAAACATGTAAAAATTATAAAACCGTATGGAACCCCCGAGAATGATCGTGCACATACCCTTCTGGCGTGACCTACTGCCGGACTGAAAGTTCTTGCGAGGGAGCTCTGGCGTCGTCAGTGTCTGAAACGATTGCATAAGGTTGTACCCAGAGAGCCCATTGTCAATGCGCCTCAAGGAATATACCTGAAAACATGATGGGATAAATATTATGATCTATGCTGCATTCATCAATTAAGGGATGTCTCGGTATAGCTTGAAGTTGAGGGTTTAAGCCTTCGGCGTTCATTTGCTTAGGGTTTTGAGGTTGGGGCTCTATGGGAATTCTACAGGGGCTTGTATGGTGTTCTCGTTGAAGACTGGTAAGGAAAAGCATACTGCCCACTACGTATCCCTAGTCTGGTAACTCAAGCACATTTTCCTAGCAAGGCCCTAGAAGACCCTTACCAAGAACCCAGAATACCCTGGCCCAGGTGCCGTTGAAGTAAGCCAACATGTTTACCTTGGCTCAGGATTTGGCGGCTCTTGTGGCGTTTCGCGTTGTGGTAATGCTTTGCGCCTTACACCTCACGTCCTGAAGGGCATAACCCTTCACATCCAGAGGTCCCTGCGTGTGTTTAGAAAGGGTTCCGACACCGAGCATGAGCACCCCTGCCTGATTGAGATTACTCAGAAATCGTCTTCTTTTAGACAGTCTTGTTCCAGCACTGCCGCATCTTCGCAAACAAGCTCGGGTGACATGTATTCACAGCTCAGGACAATATGCGTTCTTGCCTTGAACGTGTAATTACTGCCGCCAAGACATGGGAGCAGGACGGACGGGTCGTACAACTTTCCGGGAGGACAGTGTTCTGATCGTTGCTGCATCTCTTGCCTAGTTCCAAACCGAGTCGCCAGTGTCCCTCGAACGAGGGCGCCGCCAGCTGTCACGAAGCTGGTCAGGAGCTGCGCCTTTTGTCTCGAAGACTCGGGGGATGTTGAAGTTGTGTGCTACATGCCTATATTCATATACATATACATGTAATATACATCCCGCCGCATGGCTTTTTGTCGGGGATTTCGCGGTGAAGTAGTGTTCACAGCACAGTTTCAAGCACATTTCAAGCTTGTTTAGGGTATTAAAAACAGTGCTACGCTATTCTTCATAAGGCTAAGAAACGTGTGTTTTCAGAACGACTTTGGGCAACCAAAACATATGAATGCCGCATCGGACGTTACAGGTCAGGGATTCCTCGGCATTTAGACGCGTTTTTTAGGCTTAGAACTAGCTGTGTTTGCCGGGGGCCGAAGGTCATGTGTTTTGCATCGATTCTTTGCTGATGATGCGTACCGGAGCGTAAACAACAATGACCATGCCTTGATGATGACGATGATCACGATGATGGCTGCAAAGTGGGCGTTTTCAGCCCCCACCCCCGCCCCAAAGACCCCAAGACCCCGAAAACAGCAAAAACGCCAAGAACCCGAAAACAGCAAAATCGCACGACAGTAACCCATGCACTAGCATATACATGTATGTATGTATGTATGTATGTATGTATGTATGTATGTAATATATATATATATATATATATGTATGTATGTATGTATGTATGTATATATATATATATATATATGTATGTGTATATATATATATATATATATATTCTGTATTTGTATTTATACTTCTAGAAAGAAAGGAGTATATACAGAATGTGAGGATCTGAACGCTACCAAATCCGCCCGAACCATTCCTGCAGCAACAACCAGCACTACAACATTAATGGCAACACGCCGCCGAACGTCGACAACAGCGTCAGTGAACGTCTCATGGCTACTCAGAACATCCCACAGCGGTCATGGTCAGCCTGATATCTACCAGCACGCAAGGATTATCTGTCATGCGGCGCTACTCTGCTTCTCCTGGAGCATTCTAAATGCTTGGTGCCCCAAGCTCGCAACGGATTCAGACCCGGGCATGCTCAGGGCACCTGCCGAACATCTCACATTTATCTCGCTGGTGCAAGTTTGTAAACCCACCAACATGAAGACTGATCAAAACCTCTGCAAGCCCGAAGCCCTTAAGGTAAAAGCCAGAAAGTTGGAATATGATTATCCTAACCCTTCTATGGTAAATTATAGGGTATCCTACCCTGAAACCATATTCCAACTTTCTGGAGTTCCCTTTAACCCTAAAACCTGTCAGCCTACAGCCGAGACCCGGAGCTTCAAATAAATCCCAGCTCTTGTGGTACTTGGAGGTTCATGGGTAGTTATAAGTAGGGTTATAAGTAGGATAACTATGGCTATAACCTATATTAAGGGACTTATAACCCCACTGACAACTACTCATGAACCTCCAAGTACTATGTGCAGCCGAGCATCGCTCACATTGGCACCTATCTCGACCGTCCCGAGGACGTCTTCCAACGTCAGCTTGTACTCGTACCTGAGCAGCTCACAGAAGAAGACACAGACTTCGATGCTGCTACAGATTTACACGCCACCGATGATGATCATGATGATGGTTTTGCATGTGGGGACGATCATGCTTGCAGTAGTGATGTTGCTGCTATTTTTGATGACGATGATGCTGAGAAATGGTTATGCCTGTGCTCATGTGACGTCTGTGATGACCTTGTTAGCGAATGATGCTGGTGATGATTATCGTCGGTGCTGGTGATGCTCATGATCCGGACGGTGAGGCTAGTGGTTAGTGATGACGGCGCTGACCAGAGTGCGTCTACTGAAGATGATGATGTACTTGCGGTGATGATGATCACCACGATGTTCATAATAGTGATGACTGTCAGGTAAGGAGGGACGAACCCACTGGTGATCGCGATGATGCTGATTATGATAGTTACGGTGGTGGTGACAGCGACGATGATGATGACGACGATGATGAAGGGGAGACAGACGTTCATATTTGTTGATGATGCAGCTCTAGTCACTCTAGTCTCCGAACCCCGAACCAACAAGGGTCCCTGAAGGGCTCTAAAGGTTCTGTAACGGCTCTATAACGGCTTTATACGGATTCGACAAGGGTTCCATAAAACTGCTAAGGGCTCCATATGGGTTCTAGAAGGGCGCTGTTAGGGCGTTGCTGGGTATTGGGGCTTAGAAAGGGGAAAAGGAGGGACCCTTAATGGGGACCCCTACCCTAAAATGGGCTATATAATCGCTATATTAAGGGTATATACCTAGGGGTCCTTAGGGACTCTTGGACAGCAGCATTCGGCGCGGTTGCGCTGATATCTTATCATCTCCCCGGCTCGGTACAGCTCCGCCGCCCCCGCTCCCCGCCTCTTAGACACCCTCCCCCAGAGCCCACGGGGTTTAAGGTAACCGCTGTTCCCTGAAAGACATCTGTAGGACTACCAGAACAACTCAGAAAATGCGGGACCCGAAATCGTAGGATTCCGAATCTACGGACCCCAAAATCGTCAAAGGCTGAAAGTTCAAGGCGGGCCCAAACAGTCCAGGGTGTGTGCCGCTGGCATCCGAACTGTTTAGCATTTGCGGTCCTTGCCCTTGATCAGGACTTTATGCTTTCAATGTTCAATACTTGCAGTTCCTACGTCCTGCATTCAGTCAAGACTTTGGTGGTGGTAATAGTAGCAATTAATTATTGCCGATTGAAAAGTGTACCCATATAGGATCCTTATAGGAGCCCTTTAAAGGAACCCTATGGTGACCACACTAGGGCCTCTAGGGAGTAAAGATTTCGGTGACCCTAGATCCGGCCCTGTTTGTGCAAAACAGAACCTGGCAATTATCCACACCAATGTAAAGCAGCAAAGAGCTTTGCGAGAATCTCGCACCCAACAGACCAGCGACTGTATAGGATTAACTATGGCACTCTGCCAGTTGCGCAGCCCAAGACCCTGCACCAGCCAAAGAATGAGCAACCGGCGGGGAGGAAGGGGCGCCGGCTGTGGCGCACGGAGAGGAACGAAGCGCGAGGCTGGGTTCCGGTCCATCTGACGCCCCCACGGGGCGTCATGTCAGCGATGTGCTTCGGCTTCATGTCCGTCAGAGAAAATCCACTTCTAACCCTGCAGCTTGGAGCTTGAGAGGCTTGTTGGGTGGCTTGGTGTGCTCCTCATCGCTGGAAGAAGGCTCGGCTGCCCCTTGTACAAGACCAGGCGCTGATGTAAGTGTTGTTGCAGGCCGGGGCAGTGGACGGACATGCAAAGCAACAGTGGCAAGGCTTGTCTCTGTGTCTTTGTTCAAGCTTGAAACTTTTTCGATACACCAGAACTCCAACTGCCAGGGTTTAGGGTTTAGGGGCTTAGGGTTTAGGGTTTCGGGCAGCATCGGCCCTAGACTAACCTCCTGTAAGAACCCTGCAAAATTGTGGACCAACAAAGCGTGAGAACAATCCGTCTCAGACCTGAGCCCTGAAACCTTACATAAGCCCTATACCGAAAAAAACTCCGTATACTTGGAGGTTCAGGGGTAGCTATAAAGTGGGGTTAGAAGTCCCCGAATATGGGTTATAAGCATAGCTACCCTACTTCTACACCTACTTACAAGTACCCCATGAAGTTCATGGGCCATGAACCTCCAAGTATAGCATGCTTCTGGAACCTATACTGAAAGTAGAACCCTAGCACAAGTTAGAATTTTAGCTGCTTCTTAGGGATTATAATAACCAAAAATGAAAAATAATTTCTAAGTACCCCTAAGTTATGGATCCGGCATTGCACCCTTAGAGGATCCTTCTGGAACCCTTATCTGGGCTTCGAAGTAGGACCTGCAGTTCGCAGCGATTCCTGTAAAGAACCGGTCCAAAAAAAGCAGTAAAAGCACCTACTTGTCGGGTATCGTGGGGAACTCAAGGTTAACTTTTTTGGTTATATAGGGATTATATAGGGACTATACTTCCCAAAAAAAGTTAAAGGTTACCTACTCCACTACTAGGAGTAAGGTACTCGCGAACCCAGCCTTGGAAACCCTTACAGAAACCCTTACATCTACCTCATGGAACCCGTACGCCGCAAAACAGAAAACCCTAGCCTAAAGCCCAAACCCCCTAAAACCCGCTACCACCCGTCTAGCACAGGGGCCTTGACAATTAGAATAGGGTTTTGGGGCCCGTTCTACTCTAGTTTTGGGGCTCGCTCTACTCTAGTTATAATAAGGACCCCCCAACATGGTATAGGTAATTATTGAGGCCCCTATATTAGAACTCTTCTGGGAGCCTTAGCTGAGCCGAGCGACCAGTCACCCGAGACGGCATGCATGGCGTGCATGACGCACACATCATCCTCGGACGGGGCTCTTTGGGTTTCGGGCTTCGTGCTTAGGGTTTAGGGCTTTAGGGGTTTAGGGTTTAGGGTGCCGAGAGATGGGTTCTGTCAGATGAAGATAGGTATCCTTATCACTTGGGTGGTTGTCAAAAGTATGGTCCCTTTTTGAGTCCCTATCATAATACGGCACCTAACATTTACGGTACCCAAAAAGGAACCATAATTTTGAGAACCACCCATTTAGAACAGAGGATTCTGCTGTGCCTTATGCCTAAGGAAAGCTAGAGGGAATCCCAACACGCATCATCCTAAATCCATGCTCCAACTTTCTGGAGTTCTCTGTATGCCAAAACTCTATGAGGACTATGCGTTCAGGGTGGATCACGCCTAGTATTGGGACCTCTTTTTCAAGGTCGAGAAGTTTGCTCGATAGTTCTGGGGCTTGGGGCTTTGGCTTCGCAGGTTTGCAGGTTCGAGGGTTGAGGTTGATGGATAAGGGCCAAACGTGCCCGAGGGATTTAGGGGTTAGGGTAGTTCAGGCTTTTCGAAATTAGGGTTTCTGGTTGAGACCGCAAAACGGACTATCCTACAACGTACGCAAGCAAAGACTAAAATTAGGGCTGCGGGCTTGGGCTTCCGAGGGGCGTTTGATGAGGCACAACAGAAGTTCAAATTTGTCCTGTTTAATTTAGGGGCCTCAATGATTAGAATATGTCTTTGGGGCCCACTATACTATACTGAAAAGAAGGAACCGAAAAAAGACTTGGTAAATACTTCAGCACTATATTAGACCAAAGCACGTCACCCAGCTCGAGGAATCCCGGCCACCCAAATCCGAAGTTTGGGCTTGGGATTTACTTGGGTTTAGGGAGCTAAGGCTTGGGGCTTAAGGGGTCTTTGCTGGCTTGAAAAGAGACTATAGGGTCTATAGGGTTTCGGTCGCGGAAGACAAGTCTTTTGCAAGACCGCCCAAAGAGGGCTGTGCCAGACTTCTACGTTTCAGCAAGCTTCTGGGTTGCATGCTGAATCCCCAAAAACCTTTCGAACAGTGATCAAACACCAAACACTCCCCAAAACCATTGTCCCCCAAAGAAGATCTGAGCATAGCTCGAGGATACAGTAAACCCCATAAGGTTGGAAACCGGATTAAGGCCAAATCGTGCTGGGATTCCCTATACATTACTCTTAAGGGTTGAGGCTCTGCTTCTACTATATACCCATGACTTAGTTCAGGAACCCTTGCAAACACCGCATAGGTCCGTGTAAACACCCCTGTTTTAACAACTGCAAACGACACAAAATAGAAAACGCGGAAACCCTGTTGCTCAACCCCCAAAAGGAAGCCCTATAGTAGTTCTAGGAACCCTTAAAAGGAACCCCCTAGACCTAAAGCTATAGCTCAAGGTTGTTCACGCAAAGCCGCCATGCGTGGAATGCCGAGGACCAGGTTGCCCCAAATCAAGCCTTCGTTTCGGGCTCGGGAGTTGGGGATTCAGGGTTCAGAGTTTACCTTAACCTACCAAAACCTACTCTACTATTTGCTTAAGAACCCCCAAAAAATAAAAAATATATTCCTTATGGGGGTAATATAGGGATTATTATTTTTATTTTTGGGGGGTTTCTTAAGCAAATAGTAGTACTTCTCTGCAGGGCCCCTATAAATACCAGCTTAAGGTTAGAATGAGAACCTACAAAAATGTAGGGTTTGGTAGGTTAATAAGGTAGGATTTGGGATTTAAATCTACGGGCATATTCTGCTATACTTATCATGAGGAACCCTGAGGCATAACATGAATTAGTACTTGGAGGGTCGGGGGACTTAGTAAGTATAGGTAGTAAGTAGACTTATAAGTACCCTAAAAGGACCCTAATTGGGGTTATGGTACTTGTAAGTCCCGAAAATAACCAGTGACTAAGTCCCCCGACCCTCCAAGTAAGCCGTCAGGCTTCCGGATTTGTTAACGGCTTATGCGGAATAGGGATTAGGGGGAAGAGGGTTTTGAAGGCTTGGGTTCGCGTTTCCTTTCGGCACCGAAGCTTGTAGGGATGGTCCTATGGCAAGACCTGGGTACAAAATCCTAAGCCCTAAACACCTTAAACACCCTAAACGTTAAACTCCGAAACTCTAAACCCTAAACACCCTAATCACCGTAGACTCTAAACCCTAAACTCTAGACCTAAACCACTAAACTCTAGACCCTAAACCCTGCACCCTAAACCCCTTAAGGAGCGCAAGTCCCCCCATCCAACTTCAGCTAGTGGCAGCTTACTTCCCCAACACCTAGGGATCAAAAATCTAAGCAATAAGCCCTAAACCCTAAACCCTTAAACCCTGAACCCTAAACCCTAAGCCATAAATCCTAAACGTACGATCAAAGTGCGGAGTTGAGGCTCCACTGCTCCCCCGCTTGCTCTTCCTACTAGGGTCTTGTCTTCCTTTGTAGACCAATACCTGAACCTAGCATAACCTACTTTTCTGCAGGCTCTTATGGTTAGCCCTTATATGGAACGCTTAGGGACCCTAGAAAAAGTAGGTTCTGGTGGGTTAAGGTATAGACTCCTGAAGACATAGACCGGGTCTTAGTTTCGCTTGTTTCTACTACTACACAATTATATTAGGGAAACCTAAGGAGTAGTATTGCTGATAGTTCTGACTGCTTTTAGACAGGGCCCTCTACCCTAGGTATCAGAGAGAAGCCGTTACGGAGGGTACCGAGGGGTTTAGGGCTTAGGGTATCTGCATCGATCCGTCTGCCTGTACCTGATGCACAAGGTGCTGCTGCCACTGTGGCTGGCGAAAAATACATTTCATGTGAGAAAAAAACAAGTACGGTTACTGAAGTCAACTATAACACAAATGGCCCGAACTCACGGGGAAAGTCTGCTCTGCAGCCGAACCTCCAAGTCTTGAGGCAGCGAACTTTGCATGACAAAATTCAATCCGTGACCAACACACCCAAAACAAGGTTGCGGCACACTGGGCACCTGTACCTTTTCGGTGGAGGTATTGGTCGTCAGCCCAGAGCCGGAAAACAAACAGCAAGCAGCAGTACTGCGCTTGCGTTCAACTTGGTGCACCCTGCACGAAATCCAAACCTGATCAAAACCCTAAGCCCTAAATCCTAAACCCTAAAACCCTAAGCCCTAAACCCAAAGCGTTGAACCTCGAACCCTAGACTTCGCCCCAGACTTTCGCAAGCCGCTGAAAGAAGCCTTACAAAACCATGCGGTGTACTCCTGCGAAACAGTACGTTTTGGGTGATTGAGGGAATACCTCCCTCTATCCTCAGCCCTTATGGGGCCCAAAAAATCCTTTAATTTATAGCACCCGCTATGAAGTCTACCCACATAAGGCTTCACATACACGTTCCGGGGGAAACCCCACCACCCAATCCGAGGCGCTGTGGAGGATCGAGTCGAACTGCTGCTCCAAGAGAGGGAGCTGCGCGGCGTGCCTTGGCAGGACAAGAGAATACGGTTGATGATAGAAATCCTGCATTACCCATAATAAGGAATATACAATAATTCTCATAGTTTAGGGTCCTTAAAGTAATGCAGGCTTTACAAAGAGCGCAGAGACTCCAATATCCCTTAGTTAAGGAATATACCCTAGTCATATTAAGGATCCTACTATAATTTCAGGTATATCCCTTAATCAAGGGATATTGGAGTCTCTGGGAGAATATGTTCAATCGAAGGTTTGGGGTTTAGGATTATAGGGGCTAAATTAAACCCTAAACCTTAAACCCCTAAACCCTAAACCCTAAAATCGTTTAGGGAAAAGGAGCCTCGGGTTGTGCCATTCCCATTCGCCTGTGATGGATTGCCGGTTTAGGGCTTAGGGTTCAGGGCTTAGGGTTTAGGGTTTAGGGTCTTCGGTTGAGTACCCTACACCAAAACAAGTTGCCCTGTTAAATTAACAATTATGGCGGCAGTTCAGCACCCAACAAGGCTTGCAGCAACGGTTAGCTACTCCCTGCGGCCCTAAACCCTCAACCCTAAACTCTAAATCCTAACCCCTAAACCCTAAACCCTAAACCCCTAAACCCCTAAACCCTAAACCCTAAACCCCTAAACCCCTGAACCCCTAAACCCTAAGCCCTAAACCCTAAGCCGTGGAACCATTGAGGGTTTTGGGAAACTCTGCGGCGCTGGGGTCGGGCCAGTAGTTTCCGGCCGAAACAGAAGGAAGGACCAGATGACATTTCCCAGAGACTCCAATGGGTTTAGGGTTTAGGGTTTAGAGTTTAGGGTTTAGGGTTTAGGGTTTAGAATATCCCGAAAAATTAAGGAATACAGTATACCTTAAATCATATTAGGGATCCTACTATAATTTAAGGCATATTCCTTAATTAAGGGATGTTGGAGTCTCTGGGTTCCGGAACAGCACCTAATGCAGGGGCCTTAATGATTAGAAAAGGGTCCCTGTAAAGGGGGTCTATAAGCGCTACTAGAAGGGATCTATACGGGTAATTAGAATCGGGTTTTGGGGCATATTATACTCTAGCTCTAATTAATAAGGAATCCCAAGTAGAAAAGGTAACCTATATTACACCGTAGCCCGAGGCCATACTAAGCCAAAACCCTTTTGGATGGAAGAACTGGCTCCGTCTGCCATGGTGAGGAAGGTCCCAATAAAGACCATGCGAAGGTACGTAACCTGGTGAGGACCGGAATCCCTGTACGCGCAGTACGCAGTGAGTCTGCAATAAGCTTCGCCGCTCATCAATTTATCGGCGTGTCTCGCGAACTCTCTGACAAGACTCTGCCTTTGCATTGGGAATAAAGGTTCACCCATCGTCGTACTGGACATTCTGCCCGAATCCACCAAATCAGGTGAAAGAGCCGGACCAGGCACATGGGCGGTGTTGAACCACAATCCATGTAGACAACATGGCTGTCTGGCGGCATGCAAATCTTTAGCTGTTTGTTCACCGGCCCAATAAGGAAGGTTGATGACACAGGAGTAAAGTAAAAGCCAGAAAGTTGGAATATCATTATCCTAAGCCCTTTAAGGTAAATTATAGGGGATCCTACCCTGAAACCATATTCCAACTTTCTGGAGTTCCCTAGCGCGTCAACCCTACCTGAAGCACCAGGGCCGGTCATCAGGCTTCTGGTGGGTGTATAGAGGGCTTCCTTCTCACATCGGTGAGTGTATGTGGGGTTCAGGTTTAGGGTTTAGGCTTTAGGGGTTTAGGGTTTAGGGGTCTAGAGGTTCAGGGATAAGGGTGTAGGTTAGGGATGCAGGGGTGGGATACCAGTAATGCATTCCGATGATGAGAAGAAAGAGGCTTATTCATCAAAGATCTGAGGCCTACTGGTCCGATAACCTGCCTGCTGCTGACACTGAGAAACTCTGGATGTGAAGCCAAACGGACATACAAGGTACGCCCCTTGAATGAAACATTCTCAAGAGAAAAGATAGTCTGGCATACGGAAAAGATTGCAGCCCAAGAGCGCGTATTGTACGTGATTAGGCTGCTGGAGTTTAGGATGTCAGGTTTTGAATGTGCAACTTTCTCAGGTGCAGGGTTTATGTCTTTGGAGCGGCTAGGCTTTACGGGGTCGCAGATTAAGGGCCCGCTTTAAGTGGAGCCGAGCCCGGACTTCGCCACTGCAGACATAGCCTGTATCATTGCTCCGCAAGGCTCTAAGGCCTAGGAATTACTAGGTTTCCGCAAAAAAGCTGCTTTTCATCTCCAGCCAGCCCTAACTTCTCTAAACCGCACACTCTAAATAAACCCTCTGGGTTGTAGTTTTGGGGCTCTGAAAAGTATTTATGAATAGGTACCTCTATAGGAACCATAAAGGAAATTAAAAAGTTTCCAAAATTGCCACCTAGCCCTCTACTCTAAATCATGAAACTCTGGAGCCCCTCTCCAAACCGCAAGCCCGAAACAATGTAATTCATTCTCCATTTGGGGGCTTCCGAAAACTGGGGGTACCTTAATTTGGGGTCCTTATAATAAGGATCCTGTTATTTAAGGTACTCTATTAGGGTCCCCTATATTCGGAAACTCCCATTTTCTACGTCAAGAAGTATCAGGCCGGCCACAACCTTTCACCCTAAATGTGGCTTCAAAGTTACAAGCCCTGCACTACCCCAAAACCCTAAACCTTAAACCCTATGAACTCCTAAACCGCAAATCCAAAACCCTTAAAGGAGCCAGTAAACGATGATTGAAAGGAAGCCGTGAAGGAACCCTTAACTCGTAAGAAGGAACCCTTAACTCGTAAACCCGGTAAACCCCTATAAACCCCATAAACCCCTAAACCCTAACCCTATAAACCCCTAAACCCCTGAACCCTAAACCCCTCAACCCTGAAGCCCTCAACCCTCAACCCCAAACCCTGAACCCTCACCCCGAGGCCTTAAACTAGACCCTCGAAGTAGGTCCTAAATCCTTATACCCTTATAGAACCCCTATAGAACCCCACTTTTAGCTACCCCCTGAGCCCTCACAAAGCCATGGCGAGTAGCTTCTCGAGCTCAACTCCGAGAGCAACAAAAAGGATCCTGAGATTCGGGTGGGTTTCGGGTTTAGGGTTTCAGGGGTTTAGGGTTTAGGGTTTAGGCTTTGGTTTAGGGTTTAGGGGAGATGTTGGTGGGCTTAGAGTTTACTTGGAGGGTCGGGGGACTTAGTAACTATAAGGGGTTCCTTAAGGGCCCCTTCAAGGGGATCTATAGGGATTCCATAAGGGTATAGGGTTTGGAGTTTACTTGGAGGGTCGGGGGACTTAGGAACTGGTTATTTTAGGGACTTATAAGTACCATAACCCCAATTAGGGTCCCTTTTAGGGTACTTATAAGTCTACTTACCACCTACTTACTAAGTCCCCCGACCCTCCAAGTAGGGTTAGTCTGAAGTGCATCGGACTTCTTGACTACCACCACCAGCACCACCACCAACAGAAACAACAACAACAACAACAGGAGCTTATTGCAAGGACGACCATTAACCCGGAATGCAACGACTGAAATCATCAAACGGAGACTGGCTAAGATCGTAAGCAAAGCTGCTCTAAGATAAGAGTTAGCCCAGAGGCATCACGGAGGATTCCCGCATCATCGCTAGATTACCCTCAACTTCATCTTCAACATCGCCGCGGCCATCATCAGCATCAGCAGCGTGACCATCCTTATTCTTATTCGGCAGCATGTTGATTCACGTTTAGGTTCTAGGGTTTAGGTGTGTCTTCAGTGGACAAGAATGTGAGCAATCACAGCCCCAAGGCCTTATCGCCAGGAGACGCTTGCCGTTTATTTAGAACCGCCATACTACCGTATATACCCTAATTCATTCCTAAACCCTTACAACACCTATCAAACCCGTACTGTAGCCCTTACAGAACCCCCCAAGTCCCGAGAAAACCCTTACGGGAACCCTTGTAAGACCCTGTACAGCCCCCGAAAACCTAGACCCGAAACCCTATACTCAGACGGGTCTCTCTTTTGACATGATCTCACCAAGGAGGCGGAGGCGGAATGCGTATTTCCTTGTGATGTGGCTGCGTGGCTTCAATGCTGAAGGTTTTCTTGGGCCTTATACGGATTTCGGGCTTTCGGACTTATGGTTTCGGGTGTAGGCTATACTACCCCCTTAGAACCATAATACAAATAGTAGCTTTAATATTCTCTTGGGTTTCATATGAACAAAAGTAAAAAAATAGTTCCTAAGGAGACTATAGTGGGGTTGTGGGGATTTGGGGTCTAATTTAGGGCCGCAAAAAAGCACATAAGCAAACATTAGGATAGGGATATCCCATATAAACCCCCTTATAATGAAGCCCAATAAGGTAGGGATATCCCTATAAAATGCTTATGCTTATGTGCTTTTTGGGTCCCTAATAGTTATCACAGTTAGGGGTCTCGCGTCCAGTACTTGGAGGGTCAGGGGACTTAGTAACGGGTTATTTTAGGGACTTATAAGTACCAGAACCCCAATTCAGGTCCCTTTTAGGGTACTTATAAGTCTACTTACTACCTACTAAGTCCCCCGACCCTCCAAGTAGGTTTGTATGTCATGACGGGGCATAGGTAGAGGCAGGTCTTGTTTGGGCTGGGTTTTGCAGATTTGAAGGTTGCGCGTAGGACTAAGGCATAGGCCCTCGCCTTCAGCAAGGGTTTCGGTGTTTAGGATTTAGGGTTTTGCCGTTTAGCTTAGGGTTTAGATGGAATTAGGGTTCGGCCTGAAACGCGAAACCCGGGAAATGTGGTTGCGGGCGGCAGGGGGTGATGCAAACATCTCGCACCGGCATGCTCCAGATTTTTGGCAATCTTGAAAGTACTATTCGGAGTGCTACCGCCGCCGACATGCTTCGGAAAAACAAAAGTCACACTACGACCTGCTCCACCTCCTATCAAAAGCAATACCCTCGAACCCGAAGCCCTAAAACCTAAACCCAAACCCCTACAACCGTAAACCATTCAGTCGCATCCACGAAGGGGGTTCCGGGTTTGGGTTAGGAGACGATTTCGTTTAGGGTTTTGGCTCAGGGTTTATGGTGGAGGGTCTTCACTGAACCAAAAACCATAGGCCCCAAACCCTACACCCACAGTCTGATTCAAATCCAAAGCCCGCCCAAAGCCTCGAAAATCCCTAATAACAGGATCCTTATTATATGGACCCCCCAAAAAAGTACCACTAATTTTCGGAAACTCCCATATAACCCCTAAATCCCCAAGTCTGGTGGCCACCCGGGAGCATCGAACTCTGCAACGGGACCCGCTAAAGACAGGTTCTTTTGGGGTGAGTCCTTAAACCCCAAACTCGCAACTTAGTTGCTGAGTTCATAGGCCCCAAAGTGTACACTTTCAGTTTTATAGGGGGGAATATTCTCCCAAAATTTCAAAAAGTGTACAGTGTGTCCACTCAGCTACTAAGTAAATCAGCCCAAAGCCCGCAGCCTTCCGGGGAAGCCTTTGGAGACAACTTGAGGGGCCTTCCCGGTTCAGGGTTTAGGATTTGTTGAACCCCGAAGCCCAAAACCTTGAATAACGGTTTAGGGTTTAGGGTTTAGGGTTTAGGGTTTAGGGTTCCGGGGTACAGCAACCTACTTCGGCAAATCCCCCTACAGTAACTAGGTTCCTGCGTAGCACCTTAATAATATTCCTACAATTCTGTTTTCATACGGAGACCCCAAAATAGAAAGGGCAACAGGGTACTACTCCGGAGCCTTGCAGACCCTAAACCCCTATAGATCCCTTATAGAGCCCCTTAATGAGCTCTTAAAGGAACCCTTTAAGGAGCCATTTAAGGAAGCCTTTAAGGAACCTACGTAGGTAAGACTTGTCACAGCCGACTCTTGTTGGATACCCAAAGCCGAGGACCCTCAACCCTGAACCCCTAAGCCCCAAAACCCTAAACCCCTGAACCCTAAACCCTAAATCCTTAAACCCTAAACCCTGAAAGCGAAAGCAGAAAGATCCGGCAAGGCTCGACCGTGGGACAACAGGGTGTCCTACAAGATTGGCGTAGGAGTCGTAGAGCTGAAGAAGCGTATCTTGGCAGTTGCGAGCCCCCTCCCCTCTCTGAGGGTTTAGGGTTTAGGGGTTTACGGAATCCGCAAGATTCACCATCAAAGCTTATTTACATGTCAAACATGTTTGGTATGCCTGGTATGCGCTCCATGCAACCAAAC